CCTCTATGGCTGTTTATTCAACAAACGTTGAAGTGTGGGCAAGAGCCAAACATTGTTCAACTGGCTGGTGAAGAAAATGGCTGAGTGGTCTGACTTTGTAGAGCTCACAATGTAGACAGGCTAGGCCTACAAGAAGGATGCAAAACAAATGAGTAGATTGTGGAGGTTTGTTTTGTGTTTAGTGGTGAAACTAAAACAGACTGATATGACAGAGCATCAGGAGGTCTGCTTGGAATGGTTCTCATGGGCTCCAGGAAGGCCTCCAGGAGGAGGTGGCAGCTGAAGGAAGACCTGCTTGGCAAGAGGCAAGGAGTTACGGGGGTTCTGGACCTGGTGTGCTCTACAGTGCAGGCACTGTGGGTGCTGAGGGCTGTGGAGTGTGCACTGGCATCTCTGAGGGACAGTGAGAAAGTTGCTGTGGCTGTGAGTAAGTGGGAGGAAACAGATGTAGAAACAGAAGGAGGAGAACTGAAGAGGGACTTTGTCAGGAGTTTGGAATTACTTTAACACACTGGGCCGCTGTTTGAGCCTTGAGCAGGTTGAGGATGAGCTCTTAGCCAGGATCTCACAGGCAGATGTCTGGGGGTACCTTGGATTCAACATGTCTAACCCTGAACTCATTTCTTCATCCCTGAGTTTGCATCTATGCCTACTTCTTGGTGGATGACAATGTTTTTGTTGATGCCTAAGGTAGAAATTTGACAAACCAGGCCCTTCTTTATTACTGCTCATGTCTGTTCTGTCACTAAGCATTACTGGATTCCATCAGGTTCTTTTTGTGTTCTTCTCTATTTCTTCATCTTCAGTGTTGTGGTTAAGCCATTAACATCTCATTTGTTAATTGGTATATACTGACTACTTGCTAAGCCCCAGGCACATTGCAGGTGTGGGATATATGGTGATAAAGAAGCCCTCTTGGAGCTGACAGTCGATTAAGAAAGACAGACAAATCAAGATGCACTGAGTGTCCTGGTGAGGGAAGTGCTGTCTATAGAAGTGTCACCTGCCTGTCCTGGGAGGGGGGTGCGTGTGGGAGGCATCCCAATAAATGACATCTTCGCAGAGAGCAGGCAGGTAGGAAGATGTGGGAAGGATGTAACAGGTGGGAGGTGAAGAGAGCAAGGTCAGATTACAGCACAGTCTGGCTAGGACCTGAGGTTGGCTAATTAGGTGGGGAGTCAGGTCAGGAAGTACCTGGTGATGACTTAGTAGTTACCGTGAAGACTGTGAGGAGCCACTGAAGGGTTGTAAGCAGGAGGAGCCACATCATTAGGCATTTTGGAGCCACACATGGACAGTGGGTTTGGAAGGTAGAACAATTGAAATTTCTGTACTTATGAAAGCTGATGCTGTAGTGGAGACAGTGAGCTGACAAGTGAAAAGCACTGAACAGTGGGTCATAAATGAAAGATCTCTGCGAGTGAGATCCCAGCGGAAAGAACGGGCCATCAAAGAAGGAGGTACCTTTCTCTGAAGGGAGGAAAGAACTTCCACTTTGACTATGACCTTGTCTAAATAAGATCAGAGTCGGTGAACTCAAAAGGCTTCATTAGCTTGGCAACTCATGACAAGAGCCTAGGGTGATTACTGACGTCATAAATAAGAGTTTCAATTGTTAAATCAACAACAGGAGTCACTGTGCACTTACTCCCCATGTAGGATCTCTGTTCTTAATGTGTTGTACAATGTGAATTAACGGTATAACTAGTATTCAAACAGTACTTTATATTTTGTGTTTCTGTGAGTGCAAACTGTTGAAATCTTTACTTAGTATATATACTAAATTGATCTTCTATATATAAAGATAATTGAAAATAAATCTTGATGTAGAATGGGGTGGAACCAGTGGGTCAGAGTTTGAATTCCCTGTATGGAAATCTCAACTCATCAGATTAAACAGTAATGGAAGGGTAGCTGCCCAGCTTTCCCAATTTTACTAGTGCAGACACTTTTTGGAAAGCCATATTTTTTCATGTTATTGGGAATTTCTTCAGAATGTGAAGGCTATATTGAATTGGGTCTAAAATGAATTTCATTTAGATACTGAATTAATTGAAAGCTTTGCTTCTGAATATTTTTCCATTGATTTCATGCTTCTTTCAAATTTCATTTTACCTCATGCTTTATTGGCAATAAATACCAATAATAGAAGAGCTGGTGTTGAGGGAAATTATGGTGGGAAGTGTGGGTAATGGTTTATGTGGGAAGTGGTCAGTTTTATTATGTGAGAGTGGTATCATGGCAGAGGCAGGGACGAGTGGTTTTGTGGTGTGTTCACAGGGACAGGCAGTGACTGTGGAAGGGGAGGAAGTGCCACTGGTGGTGAGAGAACTACACTTTTCCAGTTTCCTGGTAGTTTGAATTCAGTGAAGCTCTGTGGAATTTTATATGTAATTATGGAAGAAGTCATTTATGTCTTTGTACATATTTTAAATTTTTTTTTTTTTTTTTTTTTTTTTTTTTGACAGGCAGAGTGGACAGTGAGAGAGAGAGACAGAGAGAAAGGTCTTCCTTTGCCGTTGGTTCACCCTCCAATGGCCGCCGCTGCAGCCGGCGCACCGCGCTGATCCTGGCAGGAGCCAGGAGCCAGGTGCTTTTTCCTGGTCTCCCATGGGGTGCAGGGCCCAAGCACCTGGGCCATCCTCCACTGCACTCCCTGGCCATAGCAGAGAGCTGGCCTGGAAGAGGGGCAACCGGGACAGAATCCGGCGCCCCAACCGGGACTAGAACCCGGTGTGCCGGCGCCGCAAGGTGGAGGATTAGCCTATTGAGCCACGGCGCCGGCTCATATTTTAAATTTTTAAAAAAATTATTTGAGAGAGCGTTTTTGATTTTCTATCTTCTGGTTCACTCTCCAAATGCTCATAATAGCTGAGGCTCAGCCTGGCTGAAACCAGGAGCTGAGAACTCAATTCAGGTCTCCCACATGGATGGTAGGGACCCAATCTGTTGAGTCATCACCACTTCCTGCCAGGGTCTGCGTGAGTGGGAAGCTGGAGTCAGGTCTGACATAATTTATCAGTCAAGGTCTGTACTATGATCCCCTTGACTTTCTCTGGGATTATTCTTTTTTTTTTTTTTTTTTTTTTTTTTTTTTTGACAGAGTGGACAGTGAGAGAGAGACAGAGAGAAAGGTCTTCCTTTGCCGTTGGTTCACCCTCCAATGGCCGCTGCGGCCGCCGCGCTGCCTCCGGCGCACCGCACTGATCCGATGGCAGGAGCCAGGAGCCATGTGCTTTTCCAGGTCTCCCATGGGGTGCAGGGCCCAAGCACCTGGGCCATCCTCCCCTGCACTCCCTGGCCACAGCAGAGAGCTGGCCTGGAAGAGGGGCAACAGGGAAAGTATCTGGCACCCCAACTGGGACTAGAACCTGGTGTGCTGGCGCCGCTAGGCGGAGGATTAGCCTAGTGAGCCGCGGCGCCGGCCTCTCTGGGATTATTCTGCTGTGACTAGCTTGAAGATGTACTTTGGGTGGTGCCTAATCTGCTTGATTGAGTGCTGGCTTTGGTGACAGTGGTCAGCTTCCTTGAGAGGGTAGGGATTGCCATAATTTAGGGTAGAGCAACTTCTACTTTTTTGCTTTGTCAAAGCTCTGAGACCTTGATGTGTGTAGGGGGAGTGAGCTGGTCAAGTGGGATTCAGTGTTTGGTGGGATTTGTGCCTAGCTACTGATCCTGTAGCATATCAGCTACAAAGGAGATGAGGTCAAGGACACTGAGTAGGGTGACTGCCTGTGTCCTATGTGTATAGGAATGGAAGGGACATCATGATTACCTGTTAGCATGCAGAAAGTGTTTAGAGCTGGGCCAATTTGGCTGCCTTTGGGAGGCTTTGATAAAGGACTACTCTGTTCAGGTTGTTTCCATGCTGCCTGTGCCACAAGCTGTCCGATTCCCAGCGTGGCTGCAGTTGCAGAGACAAAGATGTGCAAATTGGATAGCTTCCCAGAATCTGCAGAGTCACATCTTTGTGGTACAGTGTCATTATTGTTCTTAGAGAACTTTCTTCCCTACAACATTGTGGGGGAGAAGGAACTATGATTAAAAATTCACGTAACATTTAATGAAATATCAGATGTATGTGATTGTTGCATCATTTTCAGTTTTAGATGATGATTTTCTAAAAGGAGATGGTGCACATTTAAATGTGCTTTGTAACAATAAAGCTTGTAACTACATTTACTATCATCTTGTTTCAAGAGGGCACTGGATTTAAAACTTCCACATCATTGCAAAATTGTAATTATAGTGGGCTCGATTCTGGGAAGAAAATGTGTTCGAAGTGAGAGAATTTAAGTCAGATCATCTTATTCCCACACAAAGCTTTGTAACCATCAAAAATATTTCTTACCTATTTTAATTTAAAAGCAGAGAGGCAAAGAGAGACAGAGCGAGATTTTCCATCTGCTGGTTCACTTTCCAAATGTCCACAACAGCCTAGGGTCAGCCAGGCAGAAGCCAGGAGCCCAAAATCCAGTCTTCCACATGGATGGCAGGCATTCAAGTACTTGACTGAAAACCTGCTGCCTCCCAGGGTGGAAGCTGAATCTGAAGTGGAGTTGTCAGGATCAAACTAGGCACTGGGATATATAGGATGTGGGTGTCCCAAAAAACTTACTTACTGTATCAAATGCATGCCCCTTAAATGATTTATGTATTTTTAAAAATTAAATAGTCATCCACTAAACTGATCTTCTGTCAGGAAAAAGATAGAAAAATAAAGAAGAATTATCAATTCCCAACTTGACTCTCACTGGGATTAAACATGACAATAGGTCTGATCTGATTTCATCATCATTTAAAAAAAATCATCTATTATTTTTCACTTTATGTTTCTGTGTGGGAGCAAACTGTTGAAATCCTTACTTAATGTATACTAAGCTGATCTTCTGTATATTAAGATAATCGAAAATGAATCTTGATGTGAATGGAAGGGGAGAGGGAGTGGGAAAGGGGAGGGTTGTGGGTGGGAGGGACGGTATGGGGGGGGGAAGCCATTGTAACCCATGAGTCGTACTTTGGAAATTTATATTCATTAAATAAAAGATAAAAAAAAATAGTCATCCATTGAATTATAACCATTGCATTGGGTGTACGAGCCAGGAAACTTTGGAGAAAGAGGGCACTTAGTGGATTGGAAGTATTTGGCTAGCAGGAGTAAACTGGGCCTGTCTTGTCCAAACTGAGAACTTTGCCCACTTATAGCATTATAAGGCTTGCCAAAGAATGGATGTTATAGACAGGAAAATGAAATAAAGAGCTGTACCTTTTTATTTAATATTGAAGAGAATTGTTGTTGGATCTGGGATCTGATTTTGCCTTACTTAAAAACAGATGTTAGTTTATTGCTGTTTCATCATGCCAGCAGAAGACAGGAGACTCTTGGGTCGGAAGAAAAGGGGTTTTGATTCTCAGCACGACAAGTAGACAAGTAGCCTGAGTATTGGTTTGTTTCAGTTTCCCATGCCCTGTAAAGGATGCAGAATGGTTTGACATGGACCAGGTGGGTGCTCTACACACAGTGGGGTTGCATCATAGCTGAGGGGCCTCTAATACTTTTATAGAAAGTAGTAAAAAAAAAAATCTAGAATTTGGGGCCGGCAGTGTGATATAGTGGGTAAAGCCACTGCCTGCAGTGCTGTCATCCCTTATGGGTGCCAGTTCAAGTCCTGGCTGCTCCACTTCTAATCTAGCTCTCTGCTGTGGCCTGGGAAAGCAGTAGAAGATGGCCCAAGTCCTTGGGCTCAAGCACCTGTGTGAGAGACTGGGAGGAAGCTTCTGACTCCTGGCTTCAGATCTGCCTAGAGCTGGCTGTTGCAGCCATTTGGGGAGTGAACCAGTGGATGAAAGACTCTCTCTCTCTCTCTCTCTCTCACTCTCTCTCTCTCTCTCTCTGCCTCTCTGTAACTACCTCTCAAATAGAAAAGTAAAAATCTTTAAAAAAAAAAAAGCCCTAGAATTTGCTGGGGAGGGGATGGAGAAAGGAGGGGAGACACAAACATCTCTTAAGGTTACAGTTGCATAAACACAGTAGGAAATGGCCTGGGTAAAAGGGCAGCCAAGGCCTTACAGTCTTGTTGTGCCTAGCAAGATGTGTAGGAGTGCAAAGGCCTGGAGTCCTGTTTCTTCAGAAAGTGCTGGGTTGTCAACTGTGCTGTTTTTTTGGTTTCAGGCTTCTGCTTAATGCATCAAATTTGAGGGTGAAGAACACTGATGGGGGAGGCTTGTGGGATCTCAGAGTGCTTCTTAATTGGTGATATTGATAAGCTCCTAGAAATGGAGCCAGGAATTAAAAAGAAATTCCTTCTGGTGTTTGGAAACCAAGCATGAGACCCAGTTATTAGGCTTTCTGCTTCATTGTAGTTAGCCATGTATTTTCTCAATCTCGGTTCAGTGACCCCTTCATTTGAGCTGAGTTAGGAAAGTGCTGAGTACCATTTGCTGTGACCAGGCATCAGTAGTCTTGCCTCAGCAGTGCAGTCACCTGGTGAGGTGGGGAATGTGAGTGAGGCTGTTTCTGGAAGTTAGACTCTGCCTTGGTGGTGGGTTTGGATGAACATTCCGAGGGTTATTTGCAGGAGACTTAGCTCTCCTTGAGATTGTGAGATGCTTCATGCTCCGTTTGTGTCCCTCCTTCCCAGTGTGGGGCTGGGCTGCTTTGGGTACTTGGTAACCTTGAGTCTCCAAGAAGCTCTTCCCACAGGGTTAATGTACTAGATAACAGGCCATGGTTCTTTACCCTCATCAAAATGTTGATACTCTCAACTTTGTTCTTGGTCTTCTGGTTGCTCAGATAAAATTCATGGTGTAAGCCAGGAAGTGGTACACTGGTGGCCAATCCTGGCCAATCCTGGTTGTTTCTCTGGCACATGACCATGTCCATTTGTTTTCACTTTGTGGTTCCTTTCTTGCTGAAGTAGTTGCAGCAAGGAATGTGTGGCCCTCAGAACCTAAATATTTACTGTCTGATTTTTCCATAGAAGGCCTCTGACCCCAGTCTAGGTTAATACAGGGGCTAGACAGCACACTTTTTGGTGTGCATGGGCCTGGTTAATGAGCATCTGCCACAATGCAAAGCTCATGGAAGACTCAAGCCACGTTTATAAAGGAAGAGCGATGTACTGATGAAATGCTGGTGAGAGAGATGAAATGCTGGCTGGTCCCCAGTCGTGTGAGCCCACACATCTTTTTTTTATTTTTTTATTTTTTGACAGGCAGAATGGACAGTGAGAGAGAGAGACAGAGAGAAAGGTCTTCCTTTTTGCCGTTGGTTCATCCTCCAATGGCTGCCGCGGCCGGCGCACTGTAGCCGGCGCACCGAGCTGATCCTATGGCAGGAGCCGGGTACTTGTCCTGGTCTCCCATGGGGTGCAGGGCCCAAGTACTTGGGCCATCCTCCACTGCACTCCCTGGCCACAACAGAGAGCTGGCCTGGAAGAGGGGCAACCGGGACAGAATCCGACGCCCCGACCGGGACTAGAACCCGGTGTGCCTGCGCCACAAGGCGGAGGATTAGCCTAGTGAGCCGCGGCGCTGGCCCCACACATCTTAAGAGTGGCTTTTTATGGGGAGTCCATTAAGACTCACCTGGGGCCAGTGTGTTATGGGCTTCTGGGGAGGTTTTATCAGATAGACCTCCAGCCTATTCCTGAATCTTCCTGAATGTCCTGTCCAGCACCCAGGGCATCGCACAACAACTTCACTTAACTGACTTGCTGTGTTTTGGCCACTATTAGTGGATGTGATTCTGCTGCCCATGTGCCTGCTGGGAGTGTGAGGCAAGTGTTCACATATGCTGCTGTCTTGCTCCTTGCCTGTGCTGGAGGGGAGGCACAACTTACTACAGCAGCCCTAGACCTGGGCTTGCTCTTCCATCTGGTGTTCCTCTCAAGACCCAGCAGTGTCTCCCCCTGCTGGAGGAAAGGATGGTTTTGCTGCCCAGTTAGAGGCTGACTATCATTTTCCCAATCAGATTGTGACTGTACACACAGTCCCCAACTTAGAGTGTGGGAAATGATTTGCTCTCACTTAAAACCTGTACTTGGAGTTGTGAATTCAGCTCTTTTCTCTGGGCTAGTGCTGGGTGGTGCCACCCTCTCTCGTGACAGCCTCACCGTCATGAGAAAGCCGCTGATGCTCCCGCGCACTGTGCTGCTAAGCTAGCACAATTAGGTCAGATGCACTACTTGTGTTGTTCACTTAAGCCATTTGCAGTTTATAGTGGGTTTCTCAGGATACAATTCACTGTAGGCCAAGGAGCAATTGTATGTGATTTTGTCTTTCACATGAGGACATTAGAACCCAACTTCCCTGAAACTCATGGATCCCCTGTGTTAATTGGGTGCATCAAATTTGTGTGTTACCCACCAGGCACTGTCTAGGATGCATAAGAAAGAGGTGAAGCCAAGTAACTCCTCCCACCCCTGCCACACTTAGTCCTTTCCATCACCCCTGTGTCCAGGAGTCAGCCTGTCTTTATAATGTGTTTTCTTCTTTCTCTCCAGATACTGCTTGTTATTTTCCACCTGGACTATTGTAACAAATCTTCATCTGGACTCTTGGTTCTCATCCTGTGTGTGTCATCGCCATGCTTTCCCATTTGTGACCAAATTCAGCTGTGTTCTTTCTGCTTGGCTTTCAGAGTATCCTCTGAAGCCTTCCCAAGCAGCATTTTTTCCTGTTTCTCCCTGTAATACCTCACCTGCGGTGTGCCTGGGCCCTCTGCTGTTGCTGAGTCACAACTGCTTGTGTTGTTTCCCTGGTCTAGCATGACCCTGTCTAAACAGCCTCAGTCTTCTAATTTAGGACTTCTCAATCTCAGCACTATTGCCATTTTTGGACCAGATAATTCTTTGTTGTGGAGGTTGTGCTGTGCTTTGTAGTTTATTTAGCAGAAGCTTGGGCTTCTACTCACTGCATGCTAGAGGTACTGCTCCCCACCCAGGCCCCCAAAGAAAGACCAAATCCTTCACTTGCAGTCTACTTTATTGTGGTATTTGATGTGAGTGCCTCATAGCATATTATCAGATAATGATTTTTACACATACTGTCAACTTCTCTCTTTTACTTTGTGGGTTTTTCAGAACCACTGTTTTCAAACTGTGTGTTGAGAACACTGTCATTGCTACCGCCACAGAGCTTCTCTGTCAGCTATGGTGCTCACTCACTTTCTCTACCATGGGCCACTGTAGGGTTTGCCCATGCCGTATGCTGGCCTTTTAATTAGACAGTATTGTTTACCAGTCATTTTAAGTGTTGATGTGATAGTATTATAGGCTCTTAAAAGTCAGGGGTCATTTCCCATACTATTTTTGTGTCTCTTAAACTTTATGTGCGTGTGTGTGTTTCTTAAACTTTCCACTCTATTTTCTCATCTGCAAACTGGTGATTGTATCTAGATCCGGGTTGTTTTGAGGTTCAATGGGATCATACTTGTGAGGTACTTAGAAAGCTTCTTGGCAGTAAGTAAGCACACAGTAGACAGCTGCTTAGCTATTGTTAACAATTCTTTAACCTCCGCTAACCCTAGCAAAGTACATAACTCATTGGAGAGTCAAGTTTTTTTGTTTATGCTTCTTTAGGGAAATGGCTGGAATAGGAGTACGTGGGCATCAACAGAGATGTCTGCTGTTTTCTCTCCCATGCTTATACCCTGTGTTTGCTGTTGACACCAGTTAGCAGTGAAGACCCAACACGGCTTTGCTGTCAGTCATGGAAAAGCAACAGGAAGCAGGTCATTAGTGATGTTGATGACTGGAGGGAGCTAAGGAGCTAAGAAGGTGAAGGGAGGGTGGCATCTGCCTGGCCTTGATTGAAGCTGGGCTCATTCTCCTTCGTATGAGCTCCATGGATATATGCTGGTGTGGTAGCCTTGAGCAGTTCAGTGCTGAAGTTTTCTAAACTAACCCCTTCCTTCAAGTATATTTCTCCCAGGACCTGGCGTGGAATTCCAGTTTCACCACTTCTTAGCCTTGTGCCTAATACTGTAGGCTGCAGGGCCTCTACTAATTTCCAGTATGGAGATGATCTCTTAGCTTCTCCGCAGGGTTGGGACTAGGACTAAAGTGGGGATAATGTTGCGTCCATTTTTGGGAGCAAAGCTCATGGCAACTGCTAAATGGTGCCCATTAGCACTGCTTATGTGAGCAGTCTTTCTGGTGATTGCAGGAAATCTAGAAATGGGACAGCTTTCTGACAGCAGCCTTGCCCTTGCAGTGCTTTATCTCAGAACATTCTGGAGTGTTCTGATGAACATGTGCGAGCTGCTACAGCTCCTTGGTAAAGGGCTGTGATAAGAGGTTGCCAGGGACTCTGCTGTATCCGGCTCTCTAGAAGCCTCAGCAGGCTCTTCTAATTCAGTGGGGAGTGGAGAAATACTCTCTGTGTGGCCAGGAGGTAGAGTGCCTGGTGCAGGCACACCAGTTAATCCCTCAGCCTCCTAGGCTTGGTGGGAAGCCTGCTGTCAGCAGGAAGCCACTCATCCTCCAGAAGGGTATGTCTGCCAAGGATCTCAGGCCTTATGTTTCATTTAAATTGATCTGTGAGCCTGTCTGCCTGGCCTTTACTGGGACTGTTTCTAGGTAAGTTTTGAAATCAGAATTGTGTTTAGTTTTTAATGGAGATAGAGGATTGTTTTGGGCACTTGGGAAAGGTCTCCAAAAATTCTTGGAAAAATGCACATTATGAAAAAATTATGGACTTCAATTTTTTTACATCAAAATGAATGTATATTTTAATTTCATATTTTCATGAACTTTCTGAAGTACCCTTGTATATGAAGAATACGTTTCTGACCACTCAGAAATGCCTATCTTAGGCCACCACAGTGACCTATGGAGAAAGGACTGACTCTGGGGTGAGGCTCTCAGTTTCTGAGTCTTCTCAGCTTCTGCTGCATGAGCCTCCCTCCTGGCTTTGCTTCTGGTGCCCCTCCTGGAGTCTGTAGAGAAACTGTTTGGTGCCTTGTTTGGGGTTAGTGCAGTGGTAGCTGCCAGGCCCTTCTGATTTTTCTCTTTGTATTGCAGATGGTTGTTTCCTTGGGTAGAGTAAAAGTAAGGCAGAATTTCCTGTAGGTATACAGGAATTCATGAATTTCCTTTAAAAGCACTAATTTACATCCATGACTTGTTTAGAAAAAGCAGGCAAACTGTGAGAGAAAAATCTAGCATCTTGATGGCTTTGCAGTCTCCTTGGCATAAAACAAACATCTGTGCTCAATGGAGTTTTAGTGTCACAACACAATCTATTCAGCTAGATTCTTGCTGTGAATATTCTTTTTGGAAACATGAAACTAGACACCCATTTAAAAGTTGTATTCACAGCATTGCTGTGCAGTCTTAATAGAGATATACAGAACCTAAATATCAATTCTTTTGCATCAAGGACTTGTCAGCTCTATGTTTTTATTTAGAAGTATTCATACATCTTCCCCACTCTCTCTTTTATGCATTACTTTTTTGTTGTTGTTCTGTAAGAGTTATTCCTAGATAATGTCATCATTTAAATATATCAACCTTATGTTTTATGAATTCAGTTATACTGTATACACTTTTAGGTATGAAAGAATTATTTTAAAATAGTCATCTATGATATGATAATATGATATTATGATACTTTTCTTTAGACATAGTAGTCATGGATTGTTATCTGATTTGAAAACATTTGTTGTTTTCTTCTGTATAGCCATATTTTGTGCAGTTCAGTATATTTCATAGTTGTTTAATGAAGAATGTGCTTATCATCTGTGGACAGGAAATTCCATGCTAATATTGTATCAGAAAGTACATAATGGGCCATTTGTCTCTTCTGTATGGAGAAATTGCCTAGTTTTGTTATTAAATTTACCAACTTTACACATGATTTTTAAATTTATGATTTTAGAGAAGGAAAGCTACAGAATTTAAAGATTGGGACTGACTTTCCTTAATCTAGCCTGTGTGCAGCCTATGAGATTGAATTTATGAGAGGCCACTGCTGCCACCTTCCCCTTTGGTTCTCCTAAGAGAATCCGCTTCTCCCTCCTGCATTTGATGTGTTCTTAGTGAAGTACATTTGGCCAATCTTATGACATTTTTCCAAAAAAAAATGTTGATGTATGTCAACAGACTCTTCTTTTCTTACTACAGGAGAATAAACTGGTTGAAGTCACTTCATCCTGTTTAATTACTGCCAAAAAAAGTGTGATATTCCTTGTACAACCAGTGATTAAATTAAGATCGCTTGACTTACAAACAATGTAGTGTTTCAAATAATTCTTTGCAGGAGGAAGGGGCTCAAGGGCCAATGTATACTAGGAGATGGTAGCTGGATTTTGTTACTTCTTCAACTTTACAAGCATTTCTTTTTCTGTGGGCATTGTTTTCTTTATCTGTAATCTGGCAATTCAAACTACACAATGATTGCGACTTATCTTTGTAGAGAGGGATTCATGAGGCGGTTAAAATGTTTTTTCAAACAGGAAAGTGACAGCAGAAGAGACTACCCTTCTTTTTTTTCAAAGGAGGAGGCAGACAGAATAATTTGGAGCCCATCTCACTTAGCCTAAACAGTTATTGTCCTGTGTGCTTATGATTAACCTACTTATAACGTCTTTTGGACTTCATAATACACATTTTTACATCTCCAAGCTAGAAGGAAAATCACAGCTCCTCAGACATTCCACTAGAAAGTACATTTCTTTCCCTGTCCTACTCTCTCTCTTTTTGCCTGAATAAGACATGTTTATACATTCTGTGTTCATCTATTTTGTAGCCTTGATAAGACTTTTTGTCTGAAAAGAAGCATGTCTGTTGCATATAGAATAGTCACACTCATTCATTTGGTTATCTCAGCATCTAAAAGATGTTTTGGTGATGATTTTAATTGTAATATTGTACATATAAATATTCAATCTTAACTTAAAATAGACATACAAACATATATAGTAACAGTAGTATGAATAAACTTTTTTTAATTTGAAAACATTATTTTTTGTCACTTGTGTTGATCAATGTTGCATTGCTGTAACAATATGTCTGAGGCTAAGTAACTTTTTAAAGAAAAGAGGTGTATGTCACTCACACGGTCTGATCCAGGGTCTAGTGGCCTGATCTAGTCATGGCCTTCTTGCTGGCAGAGCCCCAAGACACCATGGGGTATCACATGTCAAAACACAGAGAGTGCATTTTTGTGTTTTGGTGACAAACCACCAGGATCCAATCATCAGGGTTCTACCTGATAACCTCATCTAATCACCTCCCAAAATCCAACTAATGGTGTTTAAAGATAGAGACTAAATTTTGACACATGACCCTTTAGGGAACACAATCAAACCATAGCACTGTAGAGCATTTAGAAAAACAAACACCACTTTCCTCATACTTGGTTTTAGACGTTTCTATTGTATGATGTTAACTATAACTTTTGTGTAACTGTTTTTGAAACATGCCTATAAATATAAACCATCAACCTCAATTGCTTTCATGTTAAAACTTAACTACCAAAATCTGAGATTTCAGTTATGAGGTTATCATGTATTCCATTGAAAGCATATAGGATAAATCAAATGTTGGAGTGTTATAATTATTACTAATTAATTTAAACATGCATAGAAATACATTCTTTTGATTATGCTTATGTGGGAATTTACATTGCGTTTTAACTCAAGGGTTAGTCTAATTTTGTCAGTTTTCAAGTTAGCAGTTCACTTAATCATTTAAGAAGACAGTGTTCCCAGTAACTTGTAGGTCAGACTTTTAAGAAATGACACTAAGGCTTTTAGATCTGAAGTGTGGATTCTTTGTCCCCCATGGAAGCAGAGGATTAATTAGTATATTTTAAGATAGGAATTCTTAAATTTTTTGGTCCTAGGACCCTGTTAAACTTTTAGAATTATTGAGGGCCCCAGAGTCACTTTTATTGTTACATGCACTTCATATATACTAATATTTATTGCATTATAAGTTAATGTAGAAAAGGTCAAGAATATTTATTGATTTATTTAAAATAACAATAAGCTAATTTCTTAACATAAATAATCTTTATGTGAAAAATAATGCTTTTCTCAAAAATATTGATTGACAAGTGGCACCATTTCACATTTTTGCACGTTTCTTTAACATCTATTAGACTGTTTTAGATTTTAGACAGCTGAATTCTTGTATCTGCTTCTGCATTCAGTCTGTTGTGATGTGTTGTACTGCTTGAAGCCTGGGAAGAAAATGTAGGCATGTACAGAGAGGTGGCAAGGGTGGGAAAGGAAGAGCTTAGAGGACCCCTGGAAGTGTCCAGGTGCTCAGACCAGACTTCAACAATCACTGCTTTGTGATGCTGCTGTACCAGATTAAAGATATCTCCTGCCCCTGCCCCAGAAGCTGACTCTGTGGTAATGAGAAGTCATCTCAATCATCTCAACTTGTGGAGGAAGGTTGACTGCTGTTATGTAGATTCAACGTGTGACTCTACTGGAATTCAGGATGAGTCAGGTAAGCACAGCAGTGAAGGTTGCAGGTTGAGACTGCCTGCGCCCAGGGCATTCCCTCTACTGGCTGGTTTCTAACCTTAGGCAAGTTCTTTAATTTCTGTAAGATTCAATTTGTTCCTGTCTAATAAGAGAGTAGTAATAGTTCCTACTTCTTACACTAGTGAGGTAATTCATATAAAGTATTTGGAAATCTGGCTTATAGTAAGCACTCCACATGTAGCTGTTAGTATTTTTATTGTTCTGTCTGAATTTCCAGAAGTCATTTAATGGGTATTTGTTTTTTAATAGTCATTGCTTTTCCCATGTGCTTTCAGTTTGCGTTGTACTACTCACACATCAGGGTTTGTTTGCTGACTTGTCAACTTCTGTGATACTGCAGTCTGGAGGTGGTCTAGGATGTCTGTGAAGCCTCTGGGTGTAGGGGTGCAGTAGTGAGTGGGCAGAGTCTTCTTCCAGACATTTTACACTTTAACTTTCTTTTTTATTTAACTTTTATTCAATAAATATAAATTTCCAAAGTACAACTTTTGGACTATAGTGGCTTTTCCCCCCATAACCTCCCTCCCACCCGCAACCATCCCATCTCCCACTCCCTCTCCCATCCCATTCACATCAAAATTCATTTTCAGTTATCTTTATATGCAGAAGAACAATTTAGTATATACTAAGTAAAGATTTCAACACTTTAACTTTCCATACAAAATCACTATATTCCTAAAATTGTATTTATGAAAAGCATGGTTTTTATTCTTTAAATAAAATATTTCTAAGAAAAAATACTTCCTTTATAAAAAAAAGTTTGTTAAAAAAGAGGCTTCTAAGGTTAGACAAAGAATGAAATCCATTCACTGTGAGCTGCCACAATTTACCAGCTGAGAAAATGGGGATGCTTGATCGTTTTGGTGATTTTTCTCTTATTTATTTTTTTTTTCATTAGGGATAAAATGTCTGTCTAGCATTTAACTTTGTCCCTGATGTTTGTTCTAGGCCATTATCTCTGTAAGGCTTCGTAGAAAAGAATTCTCCATTTTCCCAAGAATCATGGGAAGAGTGCTTCAGAGTGGAGAACATTCCACCATAGCTCACAGGAGATGAGTGCTAATGGCACAGCATCAAGAC